GGCCAGAGTGTTTACCTTGTATCTGAAAGACCTAGGTTCAAATCCCAACACTACCCCTTACTAGTTTTGTCAAGTGGTTTCCTTATCTATAAAATGGGGACAATAATTCCTGCTAGTGTCTGCCTCACAAGAATACTGTGAAGTTCAAATGAGATATTGTATATAAAGTACTTTGCAAACCTTAAAGGGGATAAGACATCTGCCTCCCAGGTTTAAATGAGAGAACTTTTGTCCTGCTTTGCGAATGTTAATTGCTACGAAAATGCTTATGATGCTGTAGCAATAATCTAGATGCTCTTTCATAACCCCAGCAACTAGTACAATGTCTCAATACTTTTTGCAGGGGAGAGTAGGAATAGATTGGGCCTGTGATTTCATGGGTAGGAAGCTCCCAGTGAGGACTTCCCTTTGCTGATGTAGATCAGTGCCTACTTTCCAAGTTGAGAGCTGGAGGGTTGTCTTGGGCAGCCCATATGTAGTGGAGCAGGGGCTTGAACCCAGTTCTTGCTGGTTCCAAGACCAGTTCTTTATCCACTAAGCCTTTGCTTACCTGGCACATAGTAGGTGTTTAATAAATTCTTATTGGTTGATGTATGTGTTGGTGTAAATATCAAGGATTACCTCTGTGAATGGGGTAGCAAAAATTAGATCCCAGCATAGAGTTCTTGAATTTTAGAGTTGACAGAGACTTTTGAGTTCATGTAGTCCAACAACTCTGTTTTACAGATAGGGAAACTTTAATCTGGCTGTTTGAAAAATCTTACCGAATGAAAAATGTAAAAGAAGAAAAGCAGTGGCAGTGGAGGTATGGAGCCTGCCGTCTCTCTGCTCAGGAGAGGATCATTTGAACATTAAAGGACCTAGCCCTGAGTCCCAGTTCATTCTAGCTCTGTGACAGCTAACCACTTAATATCAACTCACATTTACATAGTGATTCAAAGTTTACAGAATGTTTTTTTGGTTAAACTCTTTTGAGATAGGGTCTGTCTGGAAGAAATTTTAGAGATCAAATAGTATAGCCCTATCAATTTAGAAATGTGGAAACTGAGGAAACGTGCAGGGTTATTTCATTTTTTGTCTTCATTGCCCCAGCTACTGGCTTAGTGCTCGGTGATGATTGCTTAGGGTCATAGGAAGGGGCAGATCTGGGATTTGTACTCTGCTTCTCTTCTAAAACCCATGACCTTTCCTAAACTTCATGTTCTCCATTTACTAGACGAGGAAACTGAAATTCAGGCGAAATAATTCACCCAGGTTCACACAGCCGGTCAGAGCTGGGACTTGGACATCGGTCTCCCGACTCCCACCATGTCTGGCTCTCTTTTAGTTACATCATACGCTTTCTCCAATAAGTATGCCTTTGGAATTACAGAGACTGTATGTTTTTGTTTTTTTGGGGGGAAGTTGTTGGTTGTCTGAATGTTAACCCCATGGATTCCCTAGAAACTGCATAGTAAAATGAAAGGCATTCGTGTGACCTACAACAGTGGTTTTCCAGAGAATTTACCTACGTGTAAAAATATTTGCTAGTCTTTGCAAAAACAAAAACACAACAACAAAAAAACCCATGGAGGCTCAAAATGGCATCTAGTCATTTTTTTTTTGTTAGCTAGGAATAGACAGAGTAGTATAATGTAAGTGTGGAATAAGGAATACCTGGGCTGAAGACCTGTCTCTGCCACATCCTAGATGCCTGACTCTGGAAAAGTCACTGAACTGCTCAGTGCCCCCAGAAAATGCTCTAAACTCTAAGTTAATAGATCTGCCACGTGGGCGGGGGGAAGGAGGGGGTTTCAACACTAAGGTGGGGGGAAGAAACACATGGATGAAATTATAGTTTGAGACCAAAAAAAAAAATCCTTTCAGAAAGCTCATACTGTGACAAGGTCACACAAAATAAAAACTATTTACTTAAAAAGATTCCAAAGGAAACTGAATTCTAGATAGTACAACTGTATATAAAAGAGTAGATAAAATAATATAGTGTTTTAAGGTGCACATACCTCCCCCCTCCCCCCAAGATGAAAGACAGGATCTCCATCCTTGGTACTCTTCTCAACGCAGTGAAGTGGTAATATCATGTTTTCTTCTGTGATTTCCTCTGTAAGTTGAAACTCTGGAGAAGTTGTTGAACACGTGAGCATCAGACAAACAGAAAGCATGTTTCTAGTGAGTCCTAGATGGGTTGTGACCAGCCTTGGTGGAGGAAGTTCCCACACCTAAACATCCCTACATGCATATACCATGCAGTCTATTGTCATCCATTCATTAAACAAACATTTACAAGGTGCCAGCTTCCGTGAGGATAATTTTCAGACTTTTTCCCTATGCTAAAATGTGGTGCAAATGCACCCTGTGGTTGTAACTGCACAAATTGTGTGTGTGCGTGTGTGTGTGTGTGTGTGTGTGTGTGTGTGTGTGTGTGTGTGTGTAGAATTGAAGCAAATTGGAAAACCCAAGAACAAGACTACTTCCTGACTACATTTGAAGGGCCTGGGTTTGAATTCTGGCTCTGCCATCTATTATGCAATTTTGTAGACATCACTTCATCTCTCTCAGCCTCAGTTTCCTCCTCTGTAAAATGGAAGATTAGAGAAGTGGATCTGAATGGTTCCTTTCAGCTCTAAAAAGTGAACTAAAAATCTTAAGGCAGTTCAGGACACCTTACATACAGTCCAAATAGTTGGTGGAAAGTGTTTGGGGAAGGAGATGTCCTGAATTATTCCAAAAAGATGTTGAACCTGGTTTATTCTCCACATGTAAATACCCTCTACTCCAGCCCTTTCATTTTCCAGTGGAGAAAACTGACCTTAGAGAAGTGGCTGCAGCCAGAGCAGATTGGAACCCCATTCTTCCATGGAACTTGCAATCCAGAATTTCTTCTCATTGCACTAGGACCTGGGGGCCATATGCAGTGGACAGCCGCCATTTGGCAGCCAGTCTTCTGGAAAGAGAGCCCTGATTCAGCCAATTAAAAAAAGTGATCGAAATTGGAGAAGACTCCCCTAGTGCTTCAGATATGTGACGTGGTCAGCCATAGCACTCATTAAAGGGCACCAGATTTCTGGTCACCTTCAAAAGCTTTATGTTTGGGGAGGATTGCTTTTTCTTTCAGACTCTTACAGGAAAGGCTCAAGCAAGTGGCCACTCTTTATGGCTATACAATTTGCTATCCCAAGAACAGTGGTGTGGAGGTCTGGTAAAGATGCTCTGAAGCTGTATGAGTTAGAGAAGATTGAGAGTTGTTTGGATACTGCCCATTGGTGGAGTCCTCTGTTCACAAAGGACCATCCGGCAGACGGAATAAGGGGTGGGAGGTGGGGTGGAGATCAAATGTTTGCCAGAAAAATAATGCTAAATTCAGCATCTGCAAACAAAACCCCAAGGAAAAAGCCAAACTGGGACTTTTTATTATTCTCCCAGAGCTGCAGTGGGGCCAGGACGAGAGGCTGTGGAATTCAATTTACTGCAGGGTCTCCTCTCTTCTAAGTCTCTGTCTTCAGTCTCTCTTCCTCAAGGCTCATCTCTGGGGCTCTTTTTATTAAAGCAGATCTGTATTGTGTTCCCAGCAACTTGGTTTTTTGGAGATATGATGCTGGGAAGGGTAGGGCTTATTTTAAAAATACACTTTTGTTTTTGTACCTCAGTAGTGATCTCTACCCCATCACACACACAGAACCATTGGAGGGAGTAAAAGGATCGTAAGAGATCCATCGATGGGCAGGAAGGAGGGCCATGAGTATGGCAGGAGTCAGAAGGGAGGAACAGCCGCTTCGCCAAACGTCAAGCCCCAAATTCGTCCCTTCTAGGCTGCCCGAGGCATCTCCATCCCTCGATTCTATTTCAGTTTGAAGGCGGCTGAAAGTAGGTAGCATGACAGGCAGGGAATGAGTCGAAGACAATTCTGGAAAAGGGATAAAAAGGGGAGAGGGGGAGGAGGAGCACGGGCGAAGGCTTCTCTCCATCAATCAGCATCCCCTCTGCCTTTGCATCGCTCCCTCAGTCTCTTGCAAGTTTCTCTTTAGGTGTGACTCACTTGCAGATGGGAACATAGGGCGGGCAGGTGAGGGGTGTGTGTGTATGTGTGTGTGTGTGTGTGTGTGTGTGTGTGTGTGTGTGTGTGTGTGTGTGTGTGAAGGCGCACAGCCCGGGCACACTGGGCCGGGTACCGGTAGGCAGGGAGCCGATCTCTTTTGCGGATCCCAGCCTCGGCTAACATTCCTCTACACCTCCGGCGTCACCAGCTTTGGAGCTGGACAAAGTCAACCGTGAACACCAGGTTGTTCGCCCGCCTCATTCCATTTCCCCAGGACCGGCGCAGCTCCTCAGGGGGCTCGCCTCTCCCCGCCTGGAGTGTGCCACCCCACCCACGCCGCGTACCCCATAAACGCCGTCTGCCTGGCTCCGCCTAAAACTCCCTCCCAGGGGGCCAAGGAGGCACTTCTCTGCTCTCCTCCTCTGCTGGCTGGAGCTCACTCCGTTTCCTCCCTCCCTGGCTCCTTCTCTGCCAGCCAGCCGCAGGACCTCGACCAAGTCCAGTTCCCTGCTTCCCTGCTCCCGCCCCTGTGCCCTCGCCCCCCTCCCCCAACGCCCCAGCCCTTCCCCGTCTCTGGTGGGGCAGAAGCTACCGCTCAGCTCCGCCCCCCCTCGCCAGGGCTCCGGGGCTCGTCTCCCCCGCCCCGAGAAGCGGAATCCGCACAGCCAAAGTCTCCAGGGCGCTGGGCGGCCGTCCGACTGGGCATGCTCCGTGGCCCCGCCGGGCTGAGCTCGGGAGCGGGGAGGCAGCAGCGGCGGCGGCGGGCGCGGGGGCCGGGGCAGCCGTAGAGGCAGCCGCGGGAGCAGCAGAGGCTCAGCGGCGGCCGCCGAGGGGGCAGCTCGGGCCGCCCGTCGGGCGTGCGCGGCTACTCGCCGCCCGCTGCCCGCCGCCGCCGCCGCTGCTGCTGCTGCCGCTGCCCGTGCCGGGGCCGGGGGGAGCAGGGGCACCGGGGGGAGCAGGGGCACCCGCGGCGGCGGCGGCGGCGGCGGGGACTCGGCCCAAAGTTGCGGGGGCACCGCGCCGCCGAGCGAGCGGGGGCCCGGGGCCAGCCAGCATGGGCACGCTGCGAGACCTGCAGTACGCGCTCCAGGAGAAGATCGAGGAGCTGAGGCAGCGCGACGCGCTCATAGACGAGCTGGAGCTCGAGCTCGACCAGAAGGACGAGCTCATCCAGAAGCTGCAGAACGAGCTGGACAAGTACCGCTCGGTGATCCGGCCCGCCACGCAGCAGGCGCAGCAGGCGCAGCAGGCGGCTCAGCAGCAGGCGGCGCAGCAGCCCGGCGGCGGCGCGGGGAGCGGCGGCGGCGAGCCCCGCACCAAGCGCCAGGCCATCTCAGCCGAGCCCACTGCCTTCGACTTGCAGGACCTCAGCCACGTGACGCTGCCCTTCTACCCCAAGAGCCCCCAGTAAGCGGGCCGGGCCCGGCCGGGGGCGGCGGGGTGGGAAGGGGTGGGCGGGCGCTGCCCCCGGGAGGAGGCCGGGAGGGCGGGCGGGCGTTTGCCGGGCTGAGCGGCGCGCTGCCCCACCGGGAGCGGCCCGGCTGGACTCTCGGGGCTCGTCTGCCTTGCCCAGGGGTGAGCTGCCTGCATGCCTGGCTGCCTTCCCGATCGGGTTCTCGCTGCGCGCTCTGTCCGGCTGCTTCCCTCCCTCCTTCACGTCTCCCGAAAGAGGCACCAACCGACACTTCTCCCGGATGTCTCAGTCTGTTGCACATCTCCAGTCCTTCCTTCCCTCCCTCCTTCCCTCCCTCCCTCACGGGTTGCCTTCATATCTGCGTCTGCCTTAATATCTGGCAATGACAGTGTGGAGAGGGGGGGAGAAGGGGAGAGCACCAGGGATCTACACGTAGAGAGACAGAGAAACATGAGACAGAGTGAGGGTCAAAGTGGGCGAAACGGACAAGGAGAGCGAAGTAAGCGTAAGGAGAAGGACAGAGAAATCACATGTGGAGAGAGCAGAGAGAAATCCCTTGGAATAGAGCTTTCAGAACGGACAGATGTATGTGTGTATGTGTATGTGCAAAGAGGAAGAAAAAGAGTGAACTTTCCCCCTTAGTTATCCAAGTCTCCGAGCAGCCCGAAGTGTCCGGCCAGAAAACCCGAAATGCCCGAGATGAACCAGACCAGCTCGGGCTCACTACGTGTGCCTCTGTGCTTGCCTCCTGGCATTTCTCTCTGGTGTTGGGTGATTCATGTCGGAACTGTCTGAATCCATGCTTTCTAGCACAATTAAGGAATACATTTATCTGCTAGCTAGTTCATATTTTTAAGGGGTTCGATTTCCTGAATTTAATTGAATTTGCTTCACGAAAGACCGAGGCAGGCTGCTAATTGTAATTTTTCCTTCTAAGGGAGAGCTGCACTGAGTTCCCGTGGCATAGCTGCCTGCCCAGAACCATTGCATCGCTTCCAGTATGAAACGTATCTCAGTGTGTCTGAGCTGATCACAGTTGTAAATGGACTGGTTATTGGTCTTCTTGGGACTGTTTTCACTACTTTGATCTGTCTGGTGCTGGCAGTTTTTAGCCCAGGATGGGCAGCCCAGATCTCAGTGGCATAAGATAGCGTGGAGGGAGGGAGAGCGAGAGAGAGAAAGAGGATCAGGGGGACAGATTAAACTTACGTCAGGAAACCGAATTCTCTTATAAAGTATATATAAAATAAGAAACAACTGGCCAAGGTTATAGAACTTCAATTAACATGTGACATGACTGGAGAAAAAAAATGACAGGATAGTGACATGCTCTGCTTTGGCTTGATTTCCATCCATGTAAGGAATTTCCAGTGTGCCGACTCCCTCTACCAATGAAGGTTTGCCATTCACCTGTAATTTGAAGTGACAGAGAGTTGAGTTGTTGGGGGCATTGAGAGATTAAGTGTCTTGCCTAGGGTCACACAATTAAACGTGTAGGGAGAGGATAGCTAAGCTAAGTGTTTCTCCATTCTGAGGGACAGTTTGCCTGACAGCTCTGGCTTGGAGAGCAGAGGGACCTAAACCCTCTTTAACATTCTCTACTACATTCATTCTCTGCCCTGACATGTGTGCCTTTTTCATCTAATGAGGCACAGGATAGAACTCAGATCTAAGCCTCTAGTTTTCTAGCTACTATATGGTGCTGCCCTCATCCTGTTTCTAACCATGGAGTACTAGGTGGATGATGTATGTTACGTAATACTGCATCCTCCTTTCACTACAGATGACACAACAGGTTAATTTAAGGGGAAGGAATGGATGTTCGCTTTTCTCAGCTTTTACTGATTTGGTAGCTTAGAATATCCTGCTTTCATCTCTGATGCCACCAATGCCTTTGTTGCTCATATAATTAAGGAGAGCAACATTTGGTGCTCGTCATTCAACCTCAGTTCATATGCTCTTCATGTGGAAGCCTGAGGAAAAACACACATTTTATGAGGGAGTGAGGAGAGGATAGCTAAGCTAAGTGTCCATTCTGACCTGATAGCTTTCCTGACAGCTCTGGCTTGGAGAGCAGAGTGACCTGAACCCCCTTTAACTTTCTCTGTTAAATTAATTTGCTGCTCTGACATGCATGCCTGTTTCATCTAATGAGGTGCAGGGCCATCTCCCTCTTGGCTCAAGTTTGCATAATGGAAAAGAAGTCCACAGGCATGATTTCCCTGAGCTAGTTGTGGAGTAAGGGCAGCTTAAGGCCAGAGCTTCTGTGGGACTTAGGGCTGATGCAGAGGAAATTTTGGATTGTATTAGGAAGGGGAAAATTGTAAGTGTTTTCAGATGCCCAGTGACCAATACAAATGATAACTCGAGAAATATTCTTTCAGGGAATATCTTTGGGACTTTAGGAATTGTATAGTAATGTGGCTAGCAATAAGAAATAAGCAGTATAATTTTCTAAGTTTCCAATGCTTCTTACTGCTGGGCTTTCTGGATGACCAGATTGGAAGCAAAAGATAGTTCAGAATCATGAACATTTCAACTATGGATACAACATATTTCAGTTGTGGAATAAAGTTAATGTTTCTGGCTGCTTCCTTAACCATTAGAGATTATTTCAGAGCAGTCAGTCATCAGTGAAGTATTCCTGAAAAACTTTATTGATATGATGATAATTCAATATGTTTCCATCTTGAACAAATTCAGGGATGCGTGTTCTTTCATACTCGGAATAAAAAAGAAAAGAAGGAGATTCCTCTAACTGGTAAAGTATACATTTCACAGGAGAAAGGTCAGATTCCACATGGAATAGGAAATATTATCTAAGCTTCCTTGATATGTCTGATATATGAAAAGCATGAGGAACAGGAGGCTGATGAATAATGAGCGTAAGTTCACAGTTCAGTTTCGATCTGAATAACTTGTTATGCTCCTTCTGGCCACACAAGTTCCCCTGTTGATATTTCAGCCTTGGTAGCTTTAGGTATTCCCAGGTCAGGATCAAGGCTTCAGGCCAAAGTGTGGATCTTAAACTATCCTCCAGAGGATTCAAGTGAGTATCCAAGGGAAACCAAGACCAGCAGTAGACATCGGATTCTCCCCAGAACCCAGTTATATGCCCACATTTGTTTTCTCTTCCCTTTTCATTACCTGGCTGTTTTTGCTCATCACGTGTTCTGCTTCGTCATTTCCCCTGCCTGGGGTTCTGTCCTTCAGGTTGTCTTACTGAGTTCATTGTAATTCTTGTTTCTTGGGGGCTAGATTGGCTTGGGTTTTTCCTCGCATCTGCCCCAGCCACTTTTCCTGGATAGCTCTGCTGAGTTTCAATCGTCAGAACAATTGTATGTCCCACTTTTTCTTTGGAGCAGGGGAAAGAAGGGGAGGGAGAGGTCTCTCCAAAGGGATGATAAGGGACAGGTAACACAACTTCTAGTCCCATGTGAATTCTGGGAATCAAGGCACACCTGTGGCTTCTGGGGAAAGCCAGGCAAGGATTTGAGACTGATGCTCACTTCCCGTATAAATAGATGTTAAAACACTGGGGCTTCAGAAGAGCATAGAAGCTGATAGAGCAGATTCATAATTTGTATTCTTTGGCCACCAAACAATCATTTGAGGGCTTAAAAGACAAGTTTGTATTCTTAGAATTAGGAAGAGATCAGTTGATAATTCCTGGAAAATATTTTTTTTCCCTCATTCAATATTCAACAAACACCTATTAACAGCTTACTATGTGCCAGGCACAGTGCTAGGGATATAAATAGAAAAATGGAACTTTTCTAGTCCTCAAGGAGCTTATATTCTGGGGGCAGGAGTAGGAACCGCATATGCACAGATGAATGAATACGAAGTAATTTTGATGTGAGGGGAAGATGTTATTAGGAAACGTAGTGTTGATAGTGAATGTTAAAGGGATGCTAAGACATTGAGGGGTGTGTGTGTGTGTGTGTGTGTGTGTGTGTGTGTGTGTGTGTGTGTGTGTGTATCCTTTCCAGGCATGGAGGATAGATAATGAAGAGGCCAGAGATTGCGTATCATGTGAACACAAAGGCCATTCTATAACATGGTCTGTTGGCAACCCTACCATATATTTGACATGACTAATATATGTGTATACACACACACACACACACACACACACACACACACACCCCAATCAGCTCATTTCATGCCTTTCAAGTTCTATTTCCTTTCCGTTTGAATGCTCAGACTTCATCTCATCGTCAATTTTGGTATTTTGGTCCCAAAGCCTTGTCACCCAACATCCCAAAGTTCTTACCCAGTAGAATATAAGCTCTTTGAGGGCAGAGACAATTTCATGGTTTACATTTGTATCTCTTAGCATAATGCCTGGCATGCAATAGGTATTTAATACATTTCTGTGGTTTGATGGATTGATTCTCATTTGTCCACGCTTCAATCTCCATATCCTTTGGTTTACATCTAACTAGATGTAAATACTTCTCCTAAATGATTAGTGTTTCTCTGCATTGTTCTTGCCCTTTCTGTCTCTTGCTACAGAAGTAGCTGCATTTCAAGGAAGGTCAAGTGATCCCCTGTGTCTGAGGTTTTCGTTGCGGAGCCCTGAAGATGAAAGGATGCAACCAATATAATTTGTTGTTTCATTGTGGGAATAAAAAATGTTAGTTTCCAAAGTACAGTTTTCATGTGAAATCTACTTAAATAGTACCTCCCACTTATATGGCACTTCATAGTCTACAAAACCTTTCATGTCCACCATTCATTTAATTCTCATAATGACCCAGTAAGGTAAGTCCTACAGAAATTATTATTATTATTAGTCCCATTTTACAGATGAGAAACCTGAGGCTTGAAAAGAAGAAATCAACTTGCCCATGGTCACATATCTTGTAAGGGCCACTGGCAGATTTTTACCTTTGGTCTTGTTAATTCCAAGTCCTGCACTTTCCCCAGTAGGCTAGATTGGTAGGAATGTTGCTTTACTAAAACTATCCTGTGGGTATGTGATAATTAT